CCCTAAATTCCCAGGTCTGGCTATTTGATACTCAGAGGCCTATTTCCAACCCCAAGGAAAAAAGCAGCCACCCATCATTCCTTACTGCCTCACTAAACACAGCAACTAATAACTAGTTGATATTTTCTTTCCTTTGTGTTAGAGCAAGAGTGCTTGCCTGTCTTGTCTAAAACCTCACTCCAGTGCCTACAGTAGTGCCTAGCATTTAGTAGATGTTCAAACACACTTGCAAATATGTAAGTTAGAGTTAAGAAATGTGGCTTCTACGTGCTAAATAAGGGTAGCAACTAGGCTAAGGGTATGGGGGTGATAGGAAAGAAACACTCCAAGAAGAATACATTATTTTGTGAGCCACATTATGGAACCTCTCGCGAGACAAACACTGACAGATCGGCTAGGAAAACAATCTATGAGTGTTTGGTTTCTTTATACAATAATTTTGTAGTTCATAACATTTACCTGAGAAGAGGATACTGGCTCCTGACATTTTCTATGAGGAGACACTTACTAGGTGAGTTATTAATGCCAATTTTAAGGAGTTCTTTTACTAACATTTGCAAACAGGCTATGGATTATGGAGAAGCTGGCTCTCTCATTTTTCCTTGCGGTATGTTATCTTTTAAACTTCTCTACAGGTGCAGGAACTACAGAAAAGCAGTGAAGAGCTTGGCTCTCAGGTCAGACCTCCTGAGTTTATTCCCGGCTTTGCTACTTGTAGCTGCTGAACTCCAGTCACATTGCCTGAACTCTGTGAGTCTCATTTTCCCTAAATGTAAATTATGAAGGTTGATGTTAAGGACAAAATGAGAATTCATGTAAATCTCTTAATATAGTGCCTAGAACAGACTAGACCTTCAATAAATGTTAGCTACCTAACTAACTACTCCTACTGTGACTCCATCCCTTCATTGCTCTAGAATTCCGTCTCATGTGCCAGGTCAGGCAGTCTACCACCAGGTGAGAGCAATGGTAATGGCACGGGAGAAAAGGGGGAAGACAGAGTTAGCGTCACTGCTACCCACACACAAACCAGATCGTATTTGGAAATTAGTATCAGAGATGCCATGAGAGGTTGTTCTCTGAAAGTTTTGTTCAAGATACCAAGTTCGCAGTAACAACAAGACATATAGGACAGCAGTCCCCAACCTTCTAGACATCAGGTCTGGCTTCATGGAAGACAATCCCTCCACGGATGTGGGGGAACAGGGTTGGTCCTGGGATGACCAAGTGCACCGCATCCACCATGCACCCCACCCCACCACCACCTCATTACAATTTACAGTGACATAACTGCACAACGATAGGGTTCGCACTCCCATGAGAATCCAGTACTGCTGTGGATCTGACAGGAGGGGGGGCTCAGGTGGCAATGTGGGCAACAACGGGGAGCGGCTGCAAACACAGAGAGCCCAATTCGCCTGCTCACCACCCCCAACCCCTGCTGCACAGCGCTGTGGACCAGCACCAGTTCATGGCCCAGGGGCTGGGGCTCCCTGATGTGGGATAAAAGACAAAAAGCCACTTCATGTAAATGTTTGCAAATATAACTGAGACCACTTACACGTACACAAAAGTTAAAAGACTTTGTCTATAAATAGCTGTGTAAAACAAGACAGGTTGGAGAGAAGTGTGAATATTAATTAAGAGATCCTGGGACCAGCAGGTGGCATAATGGCTATGTCACTGGACTCCCCTGTAGTCGACCATGGTTCAAGTCCTGGACCCAGCGTCTTAAACTCACGCAGGGCACGTGTGCATGCGTGCCCAAGATAACGACAGGAGAAGGAAATGTGGGGTGGCCATCCCCCCTGGGGGTGATTTCTCGCTTTCTGTCTCTCTGTCTCTCTTTGTCTTTTTGGTGAGCATACGTACCCTATAGCAAAAATCTCTCCCCCCCCCCAAAAAAAAAGAGATCCTGAATTATAAATCCTGTGTTTTTCTTAAACAGAAACCAATTCATTTTAGGCTATAGAGACAAGATTGCAAGTAGATGTGAAAAATCAAAAGCGATATAACCAAACACAAATGAAATTCCACTATTGCTTCTGAGAACTTACAACATAGCATCACCGCTTCGAAAAATGATTTGTAGATTCGTACCTTTAAGTAGATAAAAAGTGGGCTTTATCTACTCAGTGGGCTTTATGAGTGATTATACTCTTTTTTAATCACCACAGCCTGATTTTCTATTGATTTCTTATTCATTTGTGACCAGGACAAAAATCACACATCTCTGATCCTCCCAGAAGGTATTGAGGAATGTTAGTATTCATTTGTAGATGGTTACTTTTTAGAGAAATTACCCCCAAAAAAAGAGGTTCTGGTAAAAAGTCCTAAGTCAAAATCATAGGATTTGTAAACTAAGGCATTAAGATAAGAATTTATTTCATAATTGCCTTTTCCACCTCCTCCTGTCATTCTCCTTTTATATTATCCCATTTGATTCATCTTAAACAGGTATCTATATAAGGCATACTGATTCTTAATAAAGCAAGCAAAATTTCAAATAATTACATAAATGCAGATGGTTTGACAAGATAATTGTGATAAAGGTACTTCAAAAAGTTAAAAATTTCATGGATTTCTTTTTTTTTTTTTTTTTTAGTTTGCTCTAAGGCATGTGTGCATGCTAGAGAGAGAGAAAAAAAGGGAGAAATCACCTCCCAAAGTGATGGCCACAACACAATCTCTTCTCCTCCATTCTCCTTTAGGAATTATGGGCATGCACATGCATGTACCCAGAGTGATTTTCAAGCTGCCAAGTCTGAGACTTGAACCACACAGTTAGCCATGTGGGATCCAGCTGCTTTAATCTCCACATCACCTTCTGGCCCAGTGATTATTTTTTAACTGCTATTTATAGATTATTGATATATATTTTAACTAACATAGCCAAGAATGATATAATATTAACCCACATATAAATAAGACCATAAGATATGTTAGGGAACTGTAGTGTGACCACACCCCACTGAGGGATGCTTTCCCCACCCCCCTCTCTTTCTCTCTCTGGTAAGCACATGAGCCCTCTGGTAATTAAAAAAATCATTCTGGTATCATCAAGTATGATCTTCCTTTAATTAACTATTTCCCCAAAATAACAAATTTGATCACTTCAATACTTAAGACCCACTATGATGGTAAACTGTCCTGAGAACAATTTTTGGAATTTCTACAATACTGACACTGATAAAGTAATACTTAAATAAATAAATAAAGCATTGTTGTAATCAACTTTCTTGTTTGTATTTAGTCTTTCAGAAAGATATAATGGAAAGTTAACAAACTGGTGGGCATCTGACCAAATTCAGTTGACGCATTTTTTTTTAGCAGAGTTCCAACATCTTAAAAATGTTTAATCCATTGCTGAGATTCACAAATCATTTTCGGCTTCTATTAACACATTATATGAATGAGCCACATTGGGCCCAAAATACCAGGTGGCAGGCCAGCAGGTGGCGTGGAGATTAAGGTGCTGGTTTCCCACATGGCTGACTACTGTTTGAGTCCCGGACCTGGCTGCTTGAAAATCATGCCAATCATGTGTGCATGCCCAAAATCCTGAGAGAGAGAGGAGAATGGAGGGGAAAGGATAGGGGCATACCATTTCCCTGGAGAGTAATTTCTCACTTTCCCTTTCCCTCTGGCAAGCACACATGCTTTGTGGCAAAAACAAAATAATCAAACAAACAAAAACGAGCAACAACAGAATAGGCGGCACCAACAGGCTGGTTCTGAGTAGTGGCTACCCACCTCAGACCTCTTATGTTCTTCAAATTACCACAAGTACCAACACCCCCTACTGTCTGCTATCCTTCTTACTTTTTTGATACCTAAGGATATTTGGATTTACAGCCTGCAATACAGAAAACAAGGTGAAAATATCGACTAATGAAACAATCAACAAAAGGGTAAATATAACGGTGCTGACTTCCCTCTCTGATCCTCTCAATTCCAGAGAACCAAGTTCAACCGACTCTGAACTTTCATAACTATCTTCCACAATAGATTTATTTAAATTTATTTCCTAAAAAGAAAACGTCACTTGAACTGTATAGTCCTAATCATATTAAGTACTGTCAGAAGATACACTCCAACATTAAATAGCATTTTAATACTTCTGCTAGGATTGATTAAGGATCTGCTTTATCTTCTCACACCTGTTTTCTTTTCTCTTTTCACTCTTACCAGGTGGAATTTCATTCAAACCATGGCTTTCATTGTCAACTCCAAACATACACTTACCTGCCTGACCTTTCTAGCCAAAAGAACATTTCAAGTTCAACATGTCTAAAGAGGGTGCAGGTACTCACCAGAGATAGATAGAGAGAGGGAGAAGTGAGAAAGAAAGTGAGAAATCACCCTCATTGGGGAGTGGGGGCCAGGGCAGGGGTAGGGGTAGCCATGTCTCAATACCTTCTCTTCCATTCTCCTCCTGGGATTTTCAAGCTGTGAGGTCCGGGACTCAAACCAACCATGTGGGAGTCTAGCACATTAACCACTATGCCACCTGCTGGCTCTGCTATATGTACTTTTAAAACCTCAGTTCAGGTGTCAAAATCTCTAGAAAGTTCTTCTCCTTATCCCCACCCACTCCAAGACACCATATGTGGTCTTCATCCACATCCCCACAGGATCCAAAACACGCCTTTGTTGCTAACCTTGCTACGCTGCATTTTATTAACAATTTATGTGCAGCTTTTTTTCCTGCTGGATTAAAAGTGTTTTGACACACTGAAATTGTGTCTTACAAATCTTCAACTTATCAACCACAGACAGGTTTATGCTATCAGCTCAAGGCAAAGCATTAATGGCACAAAGAGATGTGGTATTATCTGTTGAAGATATTTTGTAGTTTTATCAACAGTACTAGGGAGAAATGTTCACCTGTTGAAATATCCATTTTGTAAGACAAATACTAATGTGATTGAATGTATGGAAGAAAATGAAATGAAAAAAAATTTTTTTAAATACAAGGGGAAAAAAAACATATTACTCACCTCTGTTAAAAGCTGAATGAATCTCTGTTGCCTAATAAGTTCTGCTTTGCTTTCAGACCTAAAAGTTGGCCCTACATATCTTTTCAGCCATACGTCCTCACCAATCTCCCAAAAGCACAGGTGGCAATCAGCACCACCTATCTCGATTCTCACACCTCCACATCTTTCCTTACACTTTGCTTCCACCAGATTCCCCTCTCCCATCCCTAACAGTAAAAAATCCTACTTATTGGTCCATCCTAAGTTCCACTTCCTTCATAAAAATGCTCTTTATCTTCTAAATTTCATGTGATCTGCTCTTTACTTAAACTGCTTAATGGTGCTTTAAATTGATGCCGAGGAAAGACAGTTATAATTGTGTAATGGTATCATCTTACTGAAATATCACTCCAAAACTTAGCAACGTCATGTTCGTTTGCTTGTAGGAATTCTGTAAACCATTTGATAGAACGTTTGCTGCCTTTGTTTTCAGTTTCATCCCGTTCAAAACGCTCATTATGCTTGTTCACAGAGTAGTTTGTCAGGTGCATGTATAACTGGGTCTGTAACAAGAACCAAAGCTGTTATCACCGATGAGTCTCTAGAGCAGTGTGGCTGCACAGAAAAGAAGGCATTCAGAGACCAAATACAACTTTAAACTATGCAGATTGACAATCTCATGGCAATTAGGATCATTTTCAAGTGAAATGAAATGGTACCTTTTCTCTTAAAATGATTGCAAATAACCACCTATGGTTACCTATATATTATTCAAAATCTATCTGCATTAAAAAGTATCAAGCTAATAAAAATAGAGAAAGTAATTAAGTTAAAATGTGAAACTACATAGTGCTAAGCAAGAAAAATGCAAGTATTATTAAAAATAAAATTATTTTTATTTTTAAATGTTGTTTGTAGTATTTGGGGCACATATGATTTCTTGTTCACATATAATCATTAGACATCTTTTAGGGGATCAGTATTGTTTTTCAAAGCATGCATACATACGGTGTGTAATAAACAAATCAGTGATACATATTCATTGTCTTCAATATTGAACATTTCGTTATGTTGTGCACTCAATAATAGTTCTACTGGGGTTACGTTTTCTTGGTTTTGTTTTGTTTTGTTTTGTTTCGTTTTGTTTTTGTTTGGGGGGGAGTATGCACTGAATTGTCGATGACCTTTTTTACTCTGCGATACATCATTCTATAACCTATTCCACCATGAGGAAAACCCATAGTATCAACAATCAGAAAACATAATGGGCTCAAGCAGAGAATCCCCAACGTGAGCACTGTACATTCCTGCCCATCATTTAGACATCTGTGTGCATTCTGTGGTGCACCCAGGCTGCCGGCTCTGAGCACAGTGTCTTGCTGATGAATTGAAGCAGCCTCCCAGTCAGAATGGGAATGCACAGCATGTGTTTGGTAGTTCTGCCTCTTGGTTTATGCTACTTAACTGAGCTTTTATTTTCTTTGAAAAGACAGAATGGTCTCCCAGAAAATTTTTCCAAAATAAATTTGAAGTAACAACTCTAATGGCAAAAAAATAAAAATAAAAAATTAAATTAAATTAAATATATAAAATAAAAATTAAATTAAATAAATAAAATAAAAAACAAATGAACTAATTACTTTTTTAAAAAATTAGAAAAATATTTAAGGACTACCTACTAACTACAGGATTTTTGTTCTGGGAACTGTGGATATAAAAATTAACAAAACAGACACAATCTCTAGCTTCATGAACCTTAGAAAAAGCTTTAAATTAAGAGATGCTTTCTTCAAAGTGCAAAACATTTATGTTTGCCTAATATTAGGTGCTTAATTTAAAGCAAATGTAGTTAATCAAATTATAGTAATCCCTTGTTTCCAAAATATAAATCTTTCTTTAATGTTTAAAAATGGGGTTGGGTGGGACCAGCAAATGAGGTAAGGTTACATCACTGGATTCCCACATAGTTGACCATGGTTCAAGTCCCAGACCCAGCAGCTTAAAACTCACACCAGGAGCATGTGCAAGCATGCCCTAGATCCCGAGAAGAGAATGGAGAAGAAGGGATTGCCACATGATATCACCCACTGGGGGAGATTTCTCACTTTCTATCTCTATGTCTCTCCAGCAAGCACATTCACCCTCTAGGAAAAATTTCTCTTAAAAAAAATGGGGTTGGAGAATATTTTTTAGAGGCACTCTCCATTTCACAATAATTTCTTAAAATTAATAACAATAAAACTCTAGCTATTCTAGTGAAAAAGTAAGTAATGGAACTTTGCACTTTTCTTAAAATACTATCTTTGTAAGTGGGGTTAGAAATTACATGGCTTCACAACTACCTTGACAAAAATACCCGCTTACATAATTCACTGTCAGTGGGTCATTTCTATAAGCAGAGTGAGGGCAGCTGTAAATCAATGGCCAACCTCCATGGGGTGAAAATGATATGACCATATCCACTTCCACCTCACCACCTACCCCTAGGATTTTCCAGCATATTATAAGCTTAATATGAATTGGTATATTAAAAAAAGCTTTTCAATGACTGAATGATTACTATAGGTAGCAAAAAACAAATATTTACTATATTTCAGCTTGAAAGTCTGTCTTTTCCTTATGCCACTTATGAATAGTTAATCCTTATAGAAATACACATTTCATTACAATATACATGTTCACTATTTTTAAAATTGGCAATAGAAAAAAGGAAAAAAATAGTGGTCTGCCATAAAAACAATCAATGAGAGGGCATGGTGGCACCCACCCTATGGCAAAAACCTATGGAGGCCGTGGGATCACGGCATCGAGTCCATCTCTCTGTCTCTCTGTCTCTCTGTCTCTCTCAACGCGCTCGAGTCCATCTCTCTGTCTCTCTGTCTCTCTCAACGCGTGCGATTTTTTGGAACCAGCAGTTGGCATAATGCTTATGTCACTGGACTCCCATGTAGTCGACTGCAGTTCACACCCGGACCCGGTGGCTTAAAAACTCACGCCGGGCGCATGTGCGTGCGTGCCCAAGATCCCAAGAGGAGAACAGAGGAGAAGGGATTATGGCGTGGCCATCCCCCCAGGGGGTGATTTCTCGCTTTCTGTCTCTATGTCTCTCTCTGTCTGAATGGCGAGCACACGTGCCCTATGGCAAAAACCCCTCAAAAAAAAAAAAGTCAATGAGAGTAAATTGATTTATTCTTTCTAGTTTTATTCCTATGGCAAAAAACTCTCAAAAAAAAAAAAATCAATGAGAGTATTTTGGTTTATTCTTTCTAGTTTTATTCTTTTACTTTTTTTTTTTAAGGTTTTTGCCATAGGCACATGCATTCTCCAGAGAGAGACAGACAGAGACAGAGAGAGGGGAGGTGACCACACTGCAATCCCTTTTCCTCCATCCTCCTCTCAGGACTTTGGGTACATATGCACACGTGCCTGGCGTGATTTTCAAGCCACCGGGCCCAGGACAGTAACCAAAGTTGGCCATGTGCAAATCCAGCACCTTAACCACTATGCCACTGTTGACCCTAAAATCTTTTTCTCTTAAACTTACCTTTTACATAATTGCGGTTTTGCTTTACACAAGGTTTTGTATTTCACTTTTTTATTTTTTCATATCTCAATCAAAGAATACAACCATGAAACTGCAGAAACATGAGGGATGTTCACATTTATATAAGATAACAACGTCCTTTCCTACACATGTGAAAACCAAAGCCAGAAGTTTATGCTATTCAAGAGCCCTTGGCAAAGTGACTCTAGAGGCCCCATTTCCTTTGTCTGAATTGCTCATTATGATTTCCTAACCCAGTTCACTTAAAGCAAACTATATACTCATAACTTGGGATATCAGAATATAGTACTTCATTATCTACAAGGGCTTCCAAGTCTTATCCTCTCCAATATTATCAAAAGATCATCATTCCTTTACATGTATATAATTCATTCTTACCCGCTCCAATTATTCTCATTACAACCTATGAGCTACCAAGTCCTGAATTATTCCTGTAGCTCACATTTTCCTCCTAAATCTCAAACCTATACTGTATATCCAAATTCTTGTAGAACGGATCCATGTAAAGATCGCATAGGCACTTAAAGCAAACGCAGCTACTTCCCACAAAACTTTTAATGCCACCTGCATTTGTCACAGTACCACTCTAGCCAATCCACTGCCCGTGCCGAAAATCTTTTATACTTAATTTCCTTCTCCAGTTCCCTCATTCCACAAGTCCGACCTGTCACCATATTATATCAGTTATCTATGTTTCCACAAATATTTCTCAAATCCACCTGCTTATTCTTAGTCCAGCCGCAGCCCCACCGCCATTAGTTCAGCTGTAGTCATCTCCTCTCACATGTGGTCAGGATGTATTCCTGGCCTCCCTTGCTCTAGGCCTTCCTCCATCTCCAATCTTATCTCACATTCCCCACAAGGCAGACCAAGTGACCTTTATAAAATATCAATGTTATCGCTTCTTTCCCTTGTTTGAAACTCTGCCATGCTTCTAAAGAAATTTAATTAAATTCTAAAATCCTAGCCATGGTCTACAACGCCTTTGAGCATCTAGCTTTTGGTAGTTCTCATTCTCTCTGAACAGCTGCCCGCCCCTCTTAGCCAGTACTGTAGCCAAACTGAACTTGTCTGCTTTCTCCAGACATACCATATTTTACCTTGGAGCCACTGCCATTCTGCCTGGAGCTGCACCGAACCATGGCCCGCCCCCAACCTGGCAAACTCCTCATTGTTCAGATTTCAACGGACAAACTTTCATTTTTACTCCTTCTCCGTTAAGGTGTCCCTGCCAGACACTGCCGTAGCACTCTTGGTTTCTCAGACCATCACACTTACCATCAGGCAGTATAATTGCTTATTTTATTTTCTGTCTCACCACTAGATGTCGCTTCTGTGAGGTCAAGCATTGTATCTGTGTTGGTCATTGTTTTTTTCCAAAACCAGCACAATGCCTAGAATGTAGTAGAGTTCAAACATGACTCAGTGTCTGGCTATATCCACATCTCATGACCCTTAACGAGATGGTTCCTTTTTTTTTTTTGGCAGTATAATTGCTTATTTTATTTTCTGTCTCACCACTAGATGTCGCTTCTGTGAGGTCAAGCATTGTATCTGTGTTGGTCATTGTTTTTTTCCAAAACCAGCACAATGCCTAGAATGTAGTAGAGTTCAAACATGACTCAGTGTCTGGCTATATCCACATCTCATGACCCTTAATGAGATGGTTCCTTTTTTTTTTTTTTTTAAGCTTCCTTTTCCAATTAAAGTTTAACAGTTTCCTTATTCTTCCTTTGCCAGGTTGATAATTTTCTTCAGCTCATTTTACACATAGGCACCTTTATGTTCAGCCATCATTTAATTGAAAAATATGACCATTCTTAATGAAATTAATTGTGTGCATAACACTAGAGGAGAACAATAACGAGACAAATTGTAACTATTAATTAATTAACTGAAATTTTTACTACCATTAGTGGTCCAAAAAGAGGGCTACGGGTTAAATAAAATTTTTAAGTATGGATAATAAATTATAATTTGACTTTCATAAATATAAATTAAAATGTATGATTTTCATGATAAATTACAGTTATGACTTTCATGAATACATGATGGCTATACAAAGAATATTATGAAGAAAATGTCTACAAAAAGCTCCACAATAGACTTTAAACTGCATGCTGAAACCACATAATTTGTCTCAACCTCTCATTTGATCAGTATAAATTTACAACCTTGTCTTTTGTTCCTACAAAAATAAGTAATTTCCTTTCTGATAATATTTACTTTTTCTGTTCTGTATACTTACTCCCACATCTACATGTTCACACCATAACTTTGATACAAAGCCTGCTAAAATGCCACCTCGCTCATGAAGAAATGAACACAGACCTTCCCTTCACTTCTCCTTAACACTGTACCTTTTCTTCTACACTGCTCTTTAACACTGTACCTTTTCTTCTCAATGGTATATAATTATTATTTCTATACAGGATCATTGCATATGGATATGTGCTTTGAAATCCAACTTTGGGCTCATATCAGCCAGAGGGAGAAACTTCATAATCGGCCTGCCTAGAACACACACTTTTTTTTTTCTTAATTTTCATTAAACTTACTATAAGTTAGAAGCAGTTTTGCTAATATATACAATTTTCTAGACCATAAAAATCTGAGAGGAGGAACTTGGATTCACATCATCTTTATGAAAACAATAAAGAACATGTTGAACAAATGAATAAAAGACAGAACATCTGTTTCATATCACTCACCAAATTGGACTCATTGGGTGGAATGTACTTCTCTGTTCCCATTCGCACGAGTCCATCATGGTAGAGAAATATTTTTAGCGGGTCACAGGATGTTACCAGAATATAAATTCGCAAATCAAACTTGTAACCTTCCATTAGGAAAGGCTTTTCGATGTATTCTTGAACAATCAGATGATCCTGAGATGGAAGTTTGTCACCATTTCTTATCAAAGAAATTCTAAGTTTAAAGAAAAAAATAAAAATAATAATCCGATAGGCAGACAAGATGTTTTAAAAAGTTATACACATATTCAAGAAGAAAATAGCGGGTTAGGAAGCCAAAAGTCTGTTCCTCTTCAAAAGTGGTGACTACTTATATGAAAAAAAAAAAATTGTCAGAATCAACTTTTTGGAATCCCTGCAACAACTAAAGAACACTTGATCAAGAATAAACCGATGGAGCTGTGTAAATGAGCTATGTGACATTTTAACTCAATCTAGTCTTCTCACTCACTCACAGCTCAAGTAGTGGCCTGAACAACAGCCTGTGTTCCCAGTACAGGTACTACTATTGGAAGGAACACAATGGGCCTTATTCTTGTGGTTGCTTATTTTGACCTGTCTGGTGGCTTACTGTTGGATCTCAAAGGGCTTGTTTTTATCTTGCCTGACTTGGAACTCTACTAGTGCTAAGGCAGTTACTTTGAGGGACTACTGCTAAAAACATATTAATGGCAAATGCATTAACCCTGCTGCCTAAGCGAACGAAGAATGGGAACAAAGAATAGCTGAGGCAAACAATGCACTACCTACAAAGATGGGAAATAAGGACTGGAGAATGAAAATCTTTGGCACTTTGAAAAGTTTCAGTGTATTCCTGGAAATCTAGAAGGCCATGTGCATGTCCAGAGCTAGGTGTATGTTCAGGAAAGACCTGAGATGGTCTTAAAGTTTTACATTTGGCTACTATCAGACTCTGCACAAGCAGGAAGTGAAGGCTAAGGCAGAGCTGTTTGCTGCCAATGTGCCCCATTAAACACATGTAGCTTTCCCACCTACAAAGATGGGAAAAGTTTTGTTGTTTATTTTGTTTTCTTCCAAATATACATTTTTTTTTTTTTAATTGGCTGCAGGGCATGTGCACTCACCCAGGAAAAACAGAAAGTTAGAAAGTATCCCTCTGGGGAATGGCCATGCTGCAATCTCTTCTTTCCCATTATCCTCTCACAGTTTGGGGCATACATATACACATGCCTGGTGAGTTTTTCAAGTTGCCAGGTCCGGGCTTGAACCACTCAGTCAGCCATGTGGGATCCATACACCTCAACAAACACACTACTGGCTGGTCATCTTCCAAGCAGAACTTCAGTGGCCATACAGAGCAAAGAATATAGACTTTACAAATTAGTTCAGAAAGGTCATTAAATGAACAACTAACTACTACAAGAAATGGCAACAAGAAAATATGTAA